GGTTGAAGGCCACACGTAGAATTCAAGAACTTAGCATCACCCCCTCCCAACACTTTATGGATGAATCAACAACTGAGGGTGGCTCTACATATGCCGGAAATTCCGATTGATTAGTATTTTACAATTTATTATAAAATGTGTTTCATGTTTGAATTTCTTCCTCAATTCTCAATTGTAAACTTGTATTTCATATTGTAATTTTTTTCTCAATTCTCAAATGTAGTTCCTATTTCAAATAAATGCACTTGAACTTTGTTTTTAATAAGCACTTGTATAAATTAATAGGAGAAAATATATAAAACTGACCCAGCCCGGCCCGGCCCGGCGGGTTGCCCGACCCGTGACCCGGGCGGGTGGCCCGGCCTGAACCGGCACCGGTCACAACACGGGTCGGTCTCGGGCTTAGTTCCCGAACTCCGAGGCCCGGCCGGGCCCGATCCATGACTACTTCTGCTACATTTTCTGTTTTAGAATATGAGCTTCAAATTAATTTGTTTTCAGATTTAAATATATGGTGTTTGTGCTTAGAGATGGTGAGGAACTGAGGATTATTTTTCTTGATCCATGTCTTATTTACACGAATTTTGGGGTGTTCCCGATTGTGTAAAATACATTTTTTATTCACAGGTATTTCAAGCGTTGATCCAGATGTTATTTAGAGAGCTATATTTTTCTATGTTTGTTAACTTTCAATTTTCCATAACTTAAATTAAACAATTTTTATTGTTGAATATATACATACGGTTGTTAATATGTGCACTTTTTTCGACTACTTCTTTGCTTTTCTAATGTAATATGTATAAAAGAAATAGCAGGTCACACCTAATTTGTTCAAACTATTGTGCATTCTATTCCTTATATATGATCATTTTTAGTTTGATTTTATTCGTAATTACAATCTACTTTTATTTTTCTAATAATAGTGGTGAGATATTACATAAAAAATCTCGATCTGGCCACATCAATATTTAATTAAGGATGCTTTTAATTGAACTTTAATTTTTTAGGTTGATTTGGTTTGATATGATAAGTTCAAGTCTGGTATGCTCTGAGCTGATCAAATAGATGTCTGTTTTATGTGTTTTTACAACAGTCAAAGCCTTGTATGATCTGAACTGATCTGGTCTGATTTGAGACATAAATCAGTTCAATTAAAAACATCTTAAGCATGAATATGATTGTAAGAATAAGTACTTATTTAGCTACTTTTAATTTTTAATAGGCTATACTTAGCTTCATACTTTTATTTTCTGTTAAGCACAAATGCTTACTTCATGATATCGATGTTTGGTTGTGCTTTTAGCATACTTTTATTATTATTATAAGCAATTAAGCATAGCTGGTGCATGACTTCATCGCTATATTTTTTACTTCAAGAGATTATACTGAAAACAAATACTACTCCGCAGTAATTATACTTCTAGAAATCATCAAACTCATGGGCAAGTGTGTTACATATACATCATAAATCCGTGTAAATGAGAACAATATTTTATCTTATTGCCTCACTTTTATTTGACTCTCTCTGAGAACTCTCAAATTGCATGGAGTGAGATTTTATAATGAATGGTTCTCACATTTGTTTTACTGTGAAGTCCCTAAAAGTCTAGGCCACAATACACTCAAAATTCACGCGGAGAATGAATATCACATCACATTTTTAGTTGCTATGAGTTTTCCCTAATATACTTACCATTGTATGCTGTAATCTAATATGCATTTTTCATAAGTATCATGGGGATGGGAGAAAAGTGATTATTGATTTGGAATGAAAAGTGCATCATATATATATAAGTATCATGGGCAAGTGTGCTACACTTTGATTATTTAATCACTTTGATTATCTACCTGGTCGGGTTGAGGATTTTGTGGCATGAAGCTAATCAAGCTATTGGCGTGAATTGAGCTGTTTTGCTTTGAAAGTATGATGAACTTTGAGAACATCTCCAATGGCAGAATGCACGGTGCATATGTGACATGATAGATAATCACATAAATATTATCAAATAAATTATCTCTCTCCTTATGTGAATGATTTTATTCAATTTTGGTATGGTTTCCCCTGCAATGTCCACATCTAGACGGTCTCCTTGACATTGTAGAGAAAAACTTACCAAAACCGTATAAAATCCTTCAAATAAGAAGAGAAAGAATTTATTTACTAATATTTATGTGGCTATCTCTCATGCTACATGTGCATCGTGCACATTGTAGTATTAGAGATGCTTTGATACACGTACCGGGATATGTGATATGCCTCAAGATTTTTAGGCATATAATGAATTCATTTTGTAGTTATTCCATATGGAGGTAATGTGCAATGTTTCTCTTTTCCAAATAATTGAATGAACTCATAAAACATTGTGAATAGAAAGCTCTTCGAAATAGAGTTGAAGCCGGTGGGTGTAATTTAACTAATATGTCTCACTCACTATCTGTCAGCTTGTAATTAAAGTTCAATGTACATCCTCACAGATTTATGTCTGTCCAGGGTTAGTTCTCTCGGGGATAGGATGCCAACCTTTTTCTTTGAAATAGTATTGATGATGAGCAATTAAAATATTTGTCCTGCATACATACCCAAATAACCTCCAATAGTTATGTTTTACAACTGCGTGCACAATTTTAAAAAGGTGAACCATTAACATGTGCATTCCTGAAATCTTAGTGCGGCATTCAAATAGAATTGAGACTTTAAACAAATAAATAATACTCCGTAAATAAATTAATAAATTAATAAATAAGCACATACATTAATACATTTTTCTAAATTCGTAATCAAAATGCGAAAACAGTGCAGGAGGTCTAACATTTTTCTAAATTCGTAAGTCACATATAACATGCTTTAATTATTTATAAAAAATCATTTATAACGAGTCCCAAATAAAAATCATTACATGCATACAATACTCACCCAATAAAAGTAGTCTTAAAATACAAAATGTGATGAACACCTCAACTTTTGAACAATTGCGTTGTGCTATTGCATTGAGTAATTTTTTGACATCCACTTTTGATCCTTTGCGGTACACTGAAGCACACAAGAAGTCCACTTTTTGCAAAGAAGAAAAAATTTGATTTATTTACGAAAATGTCACAACTTTTTCATCTTTAGTGTATTTTTGACATATTTGAATCCATTAGATCCTAACTCAGATGATCCTAATTATATACTCCCTTCGTCCCGCTATAAACTTTCTACTTTGACCTACACACATATTTAGGAAATAAATTTGACTTTACTGTTTAGACACTGTTTGACACTGTTTAGACACTGTTTGACACTGTTTTGCACTGTTTTGATGTATGATAACATTCCATTTAGGGAAATGAGAAGATGATTTTGGGACGGTCCAAAAGGGAAAGCAGGAAGTTAATAGCGGGACAAAGAGTGTATATAGTTTGGATCAAATAAAAACGGTCTTAACTTGTAAAATAAAAATTAATCATAGTCGTCCAAATTGTCAATGTGATGCACAATAACCTTATTTGATGCACTTTTCGAAAAGTGCATCATATAAGGTTTATTCGAAAATGCATTGATTGGGTTATTGTCCATGAAATTGTTCATTTGGATGGTAGAGATTGATTCTCATTTTATAATTAAGACTCCATTTTATTTGATCAAAAGAGAATAGTGCTTATTGTAAGAGGCGAGAATGCATGTGATGCACTAATTTGAAATTTGCGAGAATGCATCTAGTGCGTTGATTTACAATCGTGACTATTAAAGTGCAAAAAATGTTAAATTTTCATGGAAATCTAGTGTTTTGATGAGATTTTCATCAAAAAAAATTCACCCAAAACACTTCAAATTGAGGTGATCGAAGGGCGCTCCAATCACAAAATTGCTCGCAAGAATATTTGTGTGTGTAAAATTGGAAAGTTACACTCCTTCCAACACAATGGTCAATAGTCCAATACTAGTAAATAGTTATAAACACATAAAAAGAGAACGATTAACAAATTCCTCACCAAGTCACTTTTATACGGCTAATAATATGGGAAAATAAGTCAAAACTACGAGTCAGCGCCGCTATGGCCACGGGCAAGTTATAGGTGCACGTGAATCCCTCCTCCTATTGTCCTACTCACCTTCACATGCAGGCAAATGTACAATTTATGGAATTGATTAATACTCCGTAACATCTAATAGTACATGGCAGAAAATGAATAAAATAAGAGAAAATTATAGATTCGGTATATAATGTGTTATTATTTGGTTGTAAACCGCCAATACAATCACAATAATCATAATCTGTGTGCCAGAAAAATGAAAAAATTCTTTACACTAACATCATATCAATTACATGTATCGTATATGATGTGTAAAATAACATGATCAATGATGTGATAGTGTCATATATAATATAACTAGAAGTATAAATTGCGGAATTTTAGTTAGTTAATTTATCTTAATGAGAAAATGAGAAATTTATTTAGGCATGACTGAAACATTCATACATTCGTGATATATGATATATCACTAACAAACTTAAACATATCTACATAACTACATTCTATGTCTGAAAGTCATATTTGGGTGAATTCACCCCGAGTTGTACGAAGTATTATGGATGCTTTGTCACATGACTTGATTAATGATAATTAAAATTAAAATGATTTCTCTATAAAAAAAACAGAGGAACAAAAGGTAATATCGAAATACATACAATACATGTAAACCATCATTATTTTAGGAATGAAAAACTGTTTAGTTATATTTTAGGAAGTAATCACTATTTCTTTTTTCTTTTACTAATAATCCTACTAATTCTCTCTTAAAATTATGAAATAGAATTAACAATAGTACAAATATGGTAATTTCCTAATTAATATTAATACCACCATAATGTGACACACTATGATATTTTGATTTTTGAGTTGAGAATGACAAAAAGGAACCATCTACTACAAGTACTATTTTGGGGTATTTCCCACCACAATTAAAAGTATCAAACACACAAACAAAACAGACAAACAACACCCACCCCCACCCCAATCAGCTCAGCGCTTATATTTGTGTCTTCTATTAATCATCACACAATGCATTAGCTTCAATATACTCATAATTCATTTGGTCCTTCCTCTCTATAAACTTCTTCTTCTTCTCTGTCCTTGGCTTCATTTCTTAATTGCAATGGCACTTCTTTCTTACCTGCTCGCAATCATGTGCTTCATTTCTATGCTACAATCCCATTTAGGAGTAGTGGGTTCGAAGGAGGGCCGCCGCCGCCGCCACGCCGCCCATAAAACTCCGCCGCTCCCCGCGGCCAAAAACCTGACCACCTCTTCTTGCTCCCTGTTTGAGGGCAGCTGGGTTGTTGACCAAACCTACCCAATGTACCAATCCTCCGATTGCCAGGCCATCATCGACCAAGAGTTCAACTGCCAAATGTACGGCCGGCCGGACACCGGGTACCTCCATTACCGGTGGAAACCTTCCGGCTGTGACGTTCCAAGGTAAATGGAGTGGTAAAGATTCGATCTTTATATACGGGTTGTTTTCAGTTTTCATGGTTCTTGATTTTCCGGCGGGTGAAACTTTACAGGTTCAACGGGCTGGTGTTTCTGGAGAAAATGAGAGGGAAGACGGTGATGTTTGTGGGTGATTCTCTGGGCCTGAATCAGTGGCAGTCTCTGATTTGCATGGTCTCAGCTTTCGTCCCGAGAACACATACTCAGATGAATCATGGCGGACCTGTATCATCTTTCATATTCTTGGTATCTCTAATCCATTTCACCTCACCAAGCATTCTTCAGATTTATCGGCTTAAATGTGTTTTTAATCTGGGTAAATGGTTGTTTCATCAAAAGATAACGGGTTGATCATTTTTAGCGTTTTCAACAAATAAAAATGTTGTTTGGTAAATAGACGATTGTCACTAGCGCTTTTGTACGGAAGCGCTGAAAGCCTGAAATGGAAACACGGCGAATAAGAGGGTTTGGGTTAGAGTTTTGAAATGTTTTGAAATATGAAGTATGGCTAAACAAATTATTCCGCTAGTCAAATTTGTTGATTGAATTGATTATTGATAACAAGTTAACATAATCCGCGATCCGCTAACATATTATAATCTGCTTACCGTCTAACATATTGGAAGAATGTGATTAAAATGCTTTAAGATTCTGCCAATTGCTTGAATATGATGATTGAATATTGGAATCTTATTTGATTATCAAAAGAAAGAAAAAAATCACATTAAAATGCTTTAAAATTGTCACCATCTTCAAATGCAGCCAATTCAACTTACAAAGAACATTAAATGCTACCCATTTTCCTTATTAGACAATTAAACATGCGGAATTAAAACTTTGATCTTCTGTAAAGAATCTGGTGGATAAGGTGATAAAAGAAAAATGGGTCACAAAAACATTCTTGTTTGTCATTCTTCAGTCTTTTATCATCTCTACCATTTATAAGTTTTTTGTTCATTCTATCACTTTTCATTACCCCCTCTATTTAAAATAAATTGTAATTTGTCACATAGAACTTCATATTTGCATTTCAAGACAATGATGTTCCTAAAAAATGCTTGAATTACACTTTTCTGAATACACCATTCGTACACTTTTTGGTGTACACACCAAAAAGTGTATGCCAAAACATAAAGTTTTGAACGGGTGCACACCAGCTCACATTTAATTTTCTAAATAAAGACTTAAAAGAAAAACATCCCAATTGCAATCAGACGAAACATAAAGATAATAGTTCTAGTCTTCGGGGAGCTAACATTAATAAGAAAAGTTATGTGAGGCAAAAAAATAACATATTTAAACCTATTTGTTACTTTATTGCATCAATTATTTGTTCAACATTTTCTGAAATCATATCCAAAATGGAAAAAATGCAGGAATATGGAGTGACATTGTCGTTTTACAGAGCACCATACCTGGTGGACATAGAATCAGTGGAGGGGAAAAACATACTGAAACTAGATGACATAACCAAGAATGGGGATAGTTGGAAGAATGTGGATGTCCTCTCTTTCAACACTGGGCATTGGTGGGCCCATCAAGGCTCTCTACAAGGGTACACCCCCACCCCACCCCCACTTTCATAAATTAATTATTATGCTTACCCTGTATACATTTATTTAATAAGAGATCACAACATAGTAATTAATTTAATTAATTAAATTAGGGGCTAATTAATGAAGAATGTATCCCTTGGTGGCAGGTGGGACTACATGGGATTGGGAGGGTTATTGTATGAGGATATGGATCGGTTGGCTGCTCTTCAAAAAGGTCTGGAAACGTGGGCCAGTTGGGCCGACTCCAACCTTGATAGGACCAGAACCAGGCTGTTTTTTCAAGGAATCTCACCTACCCACTACAAGTATGTTTATTTCACTTATGTTCCTTTCATCTCAAGGCTAGATGATTTCTTAAATCTTGATAAATATTGTGAATCACTAAAAAAAAGTAATTTCTTGGAGAAAACTAATATCATAGTTCGATATTTATGTGTTTATCCATTATTATTCTAGTGACTTTAATTGGGTATATATCATGTCATGTAACTAACTAACAAATTTGCCAATAAAAAACACGTGATTGACGAGGTTTTTGACAGAGGTGTCAAATCCGTGTCAAAATATACCAATTCGTGTCAATTCAATAATTTTTTATAAATTTGTCTTCGATCATTATGTTGCATCAATTTTTCTATATGTGTTTTTGTACCTAAAATTAGGCATTCAGTGACAAATTCTTTAGTGCAAACATGCGTTATAATTAGTTATATTACTAGCATAAAATTACAGGATTTATGAACAAAATCAACAAAATTTGCTCCAAAGCTGAGATTGCTTAACCACAACTCCAAAAAATTGACCTAGAAATCAGTCAAAAAATATTACATTCACACTATCACATAAATATAATACATAATAGTAAAAACATGGGAAAGTTCCCGGAGTAAAATGTTTTGAAATTTTAAATTAAGTTTGTCACTCCTGAAATATGAGTAATATGACATTATTTATTGTCATTTTGTAATCATTATTGCCAAATAGTTACAATACTAGGCATTAAACATAGTAGTATTTATTATCGGAAATGACGTTAATTTTCAATCATGACATTATTTTTTAATCATAACATTACTATCAAACATGTTTATTTAGCTTCCATTTAGGGCAATTTCCCATAAAAGTTTAGAGGAATATATCAAACTTAGGGTATGGTAGACAGTGGCTAACCCTAGGTAACGCCCATGCTCAGTTGCTCTACATACGTGATCCTATATACCTATATATTCCTTTCGTGATGGGCTATTTTGTATGATGAACCGGAAATACCGAAATACTTCTCATCTAAAGTGTAGGAAAGGTAAGATTGCAAACGTGTAGTTTGAAATTAAACACTTTAATCAATGAAAAATAAAGAAAATAATTACTTTAATTTACATGTACCTATTTCAAAAAAGTAGTGTGCCTAATCAAACAATGTATGCCTAATCAATAAAATTATATTGCTACCTTTGCATATGCTTACGGTTACTTATTAGCAAGTAAAGTTTTGATCTCTGAAGTACAAACCAAACATGCTTAACAAAAATCTCATCCAATCCAATTACATAATTACATTATATCTTGCGAATTTATTCTTAAAGTACGTACGAAGTTTGGTCCGAATATGATCAACTTGCCTGCTAGATTTGCCAGGAAAAGTAAGTTCGACTCGGAGAGTGAAAACGAAGCCACTTGTTATTTGTTAATCTCTCTTTTGGGAGCATAGGTTTGGCCCCCAACCCCTCGATCTATGGCTGGCTATGTCTTCCTAAAAAGGGCTCATTAATGTAAAAGTGTGTTATAAGCCAATCAATTACTATTACGTGTATACTATCGTATAGAAGTAACAAGTCCATATCAAATAAATGAGAGCACATTCAGCACAATATATTCTTTTTTGGTGTTTTATATCCCTCTGATCGAATTATTGAGAGTTGTGTCAACAAAATAGATTTTTGAGTCAATTCCCTAAATAGGACTAAAAAGTGGCAAAATTGCACAAATAGGACTACATTTTTTAAATTCCCTCAATAGGACTATTTATGTGTGTTTGGACAAATATACCCTTGTAACTTATGAAATGTTTTAATTAATAATAAAATCATAAAAAAATTAATAAAAATCGAAAAAAATACTAAAAATCGTAAAAGAATAATAGAAAATTAATAATAAAAAAAATTTAAAAAAATAAAAAAAAAATATTTTTTTTAAAAAAAAAAATCATAAAATTAAAAAAAAAAACATTACCACCCCTGCCACCCCCAGCACCACCAGCTCCCATCACCGGAGAAAAATATGCCAACATTTTAAATAATGCCATAATGATGGCATATTTAATGAAAATGTTGGCATATTGAAGAGTAATTATGCCATCTTTTTGGCATTTTCAGAAAAAATATGGCATTTTTTTACCAAAAGTGGAAGAAATTTCACCAATCGGAGGTGGTGGTGCTGGGAGGCGGCGGGAGGCGGTGGGAAAGGTATCCATAATTTTTTTCATTTTTTATGGATTTTTACTATTTTTTATTATTTTTTTAAAAAAATTAAAAAAATAAAAAATTAAATTTTTTATTTTATAAATGGTTTATAAATTTTTTATTTTTTTTACGTTTTGTAAATATTTTTTTACGTTTTTTATGATTTTATTATGAATTAAAGCATTTCTTTATAAATTAATACTCTTAGGGGTATTTAGGGTAGAAAATCAATGTTTAGTCCTATTTAGGGAATTTTAAAAGTTGTAGTTCTATTTGTGCTTTTTAGGAACTCATTAGTCCTATTTAGGACAATTTCCGTAGATTTTTAATGGACCAACTGGATGTTTCTAATTGGATTGAGAATTTCTGGTCTAATGTGGTTTGGTTCAATCTGATCTGGACTGGTTTGAACTAGTCTGACCTGGACTGTTATATTGTACTCCGTATATTTAAATATCATCTGGTCAAGGATTGAAATAAATCTAAGTAAAAATATACTCCGTACTTCGTAATTGCTAGTGCTAGTTGTACCAAATTTACAGAATTGGGCTTATTAGTTTCAAACTCCTCCTCGGTATTATATTTTCTTTACTTATAAATAGCGAATGTAACATGTAATTTGGGAATGATGGATATTTATACCAAACTCTACGAGTCCTTACTAACATTTGAATTGGATGAATTTATTGAAATTATTGAAACAGTTGAAGTTTATCAAAAAAAACATTATACTGCGTATTATACGAAGTATTTAGGATTCGTAAAAAAATGAGAAAAAAGAGCTAAAAGCGCACTCTTTTGCCAATTTAACTATAAAAAAAGCTTCAATTTCATTATTCCCCAATGCAACACGTAAATCTAGAAAATTGCACTTTACAAAAAATATGAATGATAGTATGACACGATGTCGTTGATAAGCTAAAAAACAATGAACGTGATGAAAGAAACACTATAAGTGGCCGGCAGAAATGATGAGGCCAATAGGGAGTAATATATAATTAAGTCGCAACTAGCGAAAAAGAAATAAATAAAATGTGTAAATAATACAGCTCATAATCTTTGATACATCATAGTCAAAGAAATGTGCATAGTTGGTTTGTCAATAAGGTAAGGGCAAGTAGCTAGTATAATACCAAAGCCGCAGCCAGTGTACGTTTTGTTTAGTTCTTTTCATGTTTCTTTATATACTGAGTATATATATAATCAATATAATGCAAAGTACATTAGATTTGCCAAATCCACCTCGTCGGTGGCACACCCACTTTAGACTTTAGAGTACAAAAAGATTTACACTCCAAATTGAAGAGCCTACACTTCACTTATTTGGTCACTTGAATATTTCGATAATTTTTTCATAACTCATGATTAAAGTTCAATTTACCTTCTCTCTAATATATGATTGTTGGGCTGACATTTTCCACAACCCCATATCTATCAATGCAACATGATAGATGCACCAAATTCATATTGTTCTAATACATTTTGAAAAAACTACTCTCTGTTAGGTATTGAGAATATTACGTATTATTAATCATACTATCTCTGTCTCACTAACATTGAGGCATGATGAGATAATATGATTATTAAGAAAAGTGACTTTGTGTGGTTGATATTGAATTGATAAAGTAAGAATAAAGTAAGAATGATTTAGAAGCCACATAAATTGTACCAAATTTAATATGGGACATAATTTTTGGCAATAATTGCATAGGTAGACAAAATTGAGGTCCAAATAAAGTTGGATTCCAAAATGGACTAGTAATGTAATTATAAATCTGTCCATTAAACTTTCTCTCAACTCTATTATATTAGTATCATTACAATGAACAACTTTTTTGGATCACTAATAAAAGTCACTATAAGTTAAGGGAGTTACTCTAGGAGTATAAACCTCTGTGTTCTATAAGCTAGTTACATGTAGCATCAAACATATTTTTTGACACACCAACTTTAAATCAATAGTGATTGTATGAAACACATTATCTACATACTGGAAAGTTGTGTTTGTACTTCAAGCATTTCCAAACTCGGGAAGTTAACGACATGGGTTTTGATCGACAGCCCTCATGAATGGAGCTCGGACAAGGTGACATTGTCAAAGAGCTGTTACGGCGAGACATCCCCGACAGCAAACGGCGGGGTGTACCCCGGGACATACCCTGAACAAATGAGGGTGATCCAAGCAGTGCTAGGGAAGATGAGCAATCCTCCTTCCCTTCTTAACATAACACTTCTATCAGCTATGAGGAAAGATGCGCATCCTTCCATATACAGTGGAGATCTCACTCCAGTCCAAAGGGCTAATCCTAACCACTCATCTGATTGCAGCCATTGGTGCCTCCCTGGCTTGCCTGATACTTGGAATCAGTTGTTTTATACAGGGCTTATCTTCTAAAGAAAATATTGTTCCACTCATACTTCCATTTTTTCCTTTATAATTTATATTTATTATTTGTAATTCATCAGTGTTAGTGCCCAATGTTTATTACAAAAACCCACAAATTAAATTAGTTAATGTTTTAGATTAGTCATAAATTGTTTAGCCTTTTATTAGGTGTCTTCTTAAGCGCCCTTTGATTGCAATGTGATAATGCTCATAAATCCCAATGTCCCATACTCTATTATTGGTTACAAAAATACTAGTCTTGATAAAAACATTTATCAAAACATTTATTAACTCAGGTTTGTGGAATACTGGAATACCATATGATCTACTTGGTCCATCCCTAAACTGCTAAACATGGGCCATCTTGGAGTGTAATTAGGGGTGGGTTCGGTTCTTGCGGTTCGGTTTTGACCTAAAACCAAATATAGAATCAAAGTAAAAAGTTCGGTTCGGTTTCGGTTCGGTTTTACACTCCAAAACTTGGAACCACGGTTTAATTGGTTCGGTTCGTTTCGATTCGATTTCGGTTTTTTCGGTTTTTTACCAAAAAATTAAAATTTGATTTAAAATTGATATAGTACTTTGAGGGATCAAACATATATTACATAAAGAATGCAAGCACACTACAACAAATAAAATAAAAATGAAAATAAATAAATATCTCATGAATTATATGAGTATGCGAGAGAGATAAAAGTATATATTATTAATTTACATGGTTTGTGACTAGTTCAAAAAAAGTTCATGAGTATATACGTTATATGTGATATAGTTGAGATAAATATTTATTGTTTCATCAATACGAATTCTTTAAGTTAAATAAAAATAAAAGTTAATTAATACTAATAACAAGTAAAAACATATTATTAGTATAGCTACATTATTACGTGCAATGAATGTGTAAATGAATTCATAAACTAAACTAAACATAACAAACATTATTTCTCTAGCACAAGAAAACCAAAAACTATTAATGATATTAGGATTAGTTAGGATTAATGCTTAACAATGGACAAATAAATTTTATATTTTAACTAGTTCGGTTTGTTCGGTTCGGTTCGATTTTGAAGGGTAAAAACCAAAACCGAACCAAACAACTACGGTTCGGTTCGGTTTTTTACATTCGGTTTCGGTTTGTTAGCGGTTCGGTTTTATTTGGCTACGGTTCGGTATGATTTGATTCGGTTTTCGGTTTTCGATTTTTCGGACCCAGCCCTAAGTGTAATTAAGTGCACCATATCATTATAGACAATGTTACCAGGCCGGCCCAAAACCATTCACCAAATGTTTCTTTTTAATTAACATGATAAGATGTGGCCGACTAGGGATGGAACTTGGATTTTACGGCTAAGCGAGTCAAGTTTTTCATTAGCGTAGGCCACAACGTTTAAATCTATCAAACTCTTAATGTGCACAATGGAAAAACTAACTTAGATTTTATAGGAATTTTATCAATTCAGGACCCGAAAGATAGATAAATTATCAATTCGGGACCTGAAAGATGAAATGCATCAGTATATGGCCTGAATGATGGAAAACTATCAATATGGGACCTAACATTTCATAAGTTTTGATTTATTTAATTTTTTATTAACTCCATTGATAATATTTGATAAAGTTTTCTTCACAAAAGTTTATTAGTTCAATAAAACTAAACAATATTTAAAATTTTCAAAAAAAATAATAATAATAAAATTCATGACAACTTAGGTCCTAGATTGATAATTTTCAATCATTCGGGTCCTAAATTGATAGTTTTTCATCACCTGGTTCCTATATTGATACATTTCATCTTTCAGGTCCCGGATTGATAATTCATCTATCTTTCGGGTCCTAAATTGATAAAATTCCTAGATTTTATTATTGAAAGGTTCTAAGAGGATATTGGAAAGTTAATTTATAATGGAACGTTGTTAAATTTAAAGTTTGTATCAAGTTAAATTATTGAAAGGTTCTATAAGATAAAGTGTCTAAAAGATATACGTAGTATATCCAATGATCTTTATGTAATTTTAAAATGATTTTTAATTTGTTTAATTGCATTACTCTTATTAGAGTAAAGAATCTAATTTTGAATTATAGTTTTGTCTACGATGGGTGATTGTAAGCCATAAAGCGTCTTTCTAATATTATAATCAAGGACGTAGCCAGAACAGATGTTTAGGACAGATGTTCTAAAACAACACTTTTTGCTTCGTTCTCAACATGCTGAGTGGTACCGAACAAATCTATTGAAGAAGAGGAAAAGTGCCCAGTTTGTTCCATGAAGGGTCGGACTCTCATGGATTGGAAAGCAGCAAACTGCCCACAGTCCATAAAAAATCCACTTAGTATGCAACAATGTGAATATAGCGTAGTGTTTAAAAAACTACGGAGTAATAAAAACACCTAGCTCACCATCTGTCACTACTTTCAAAAATAGTACTATATCCACAAAAAAAAGTGGATTAATGTAAAAGGAAAATTAATAAATGTCATTCAAACTAGGCCATACGCGTTGTTATTATGCGCACCTGAGTGAAGGAGGACATCAGGTTTCTTCTCACTTCAGAGAACATTCTTAATATTTCTGTTGATTATACAGGTGGTCTCAGGTGACCCAACCTACAAGGCTACAATAATATAATCAACAAACACATTAGTACGTGGTCAAAGGAAAAGTAAATAATTGAATGTTTTGTATGTATATGGTAGTTACATAACTTACATAAGGAGCATATCCTCTCACCCGAAGTTGTGTGCATTTGATTCAAACAAACCTTCATAATTTAATTAATATTCAACAAAAAGCTGAATAATAAAAAATATTCTTAAGAAGACTAAAAAAATATTATAAACATACCGAAATGTGAAAGTAGCAATGACAACTTCTTAAGAAGACTAAAAAAATGTTATAAACATACTGAAATGTGAAAGTAGCAATGACAACTACGTCTGGGGGCGCTACCAAGCCAAGAATATTATTGCTATTTTCGGATCCAAGAGATTACAAAGGGAGAGAGCTTGTATTTATAGAGAGTAAAACCTACCCCTAAGCCAACTAGGAGGCTCGGCCAAAAAAGTAATTCGTACGGCCCAACTGCACGGAATCTGTACGGCCCATCTGTACGGAATTGTACGGAAAACTTGTTCGTCAAAATCGGACCAAAAATGAATAGGGCTTGGTTACACAGTCTCCAACACCTTACAGTCTATTGTAATATCTTCACTCTAAATACATTTTCCTTTCTTTTGGTTCATGGGTTTTTTTACATCAAGAAGAAGTTATATAAAATGCTTTTAGTTCATGCTATAAAATGTCTCTTGTAATAATTCACCCTAAATACATTTTCCTTTCTTTTGGTTCATGGGGGTTTCAACAAAGGGATTAGGTACAAATATACCCCTGTACTATGAGTGTGGGAACAGATATACCCCTGTTCTATTTTCCGGAACAAATATACCCTTGAACTTTTAAAAAAGTGCAAAAATATCCCTCATGTTCTTATAAAGGGGCAACTTAATCCCTATTGACTATAAATTAATAAAATAAATTTCAAAAAACACCAAATATAAATTACAAATTCGAATTTAATAAACAAAAAAATTTAAAAATATAATAGTGTCCAATTCTCCCTTATATAGTTTTTATATCACAATTTAATACTGTTTAAGTATGAAATATTATTCCAAAATTTTACTATATGTTTAAGATTCTTTCGAAAAGGTGCTAACATATGTTTTGCAATGTAAAGATTTTTTTTTTTTTTTGCATTCTTTACACTACAAAATTACATATTTTGAAATAATATTTTGTACTAAATATATTAAATTGTAATATAAAAACAATAAAGGGAGAATTGGACACAATTATATTTATAATAAAAAATTATTTTTTAATTTCGATTTTTAATTTATTTTTGGTCTTTTTTGAAATTTATTTTATTAATTTAAAGTCAATAAGAATTCATTTGCTCCTTTATAAAAACTTGAGGGATATTTTTGCACTTTTTAAAAAGTTCAGGGGTATATTTGTTCCAAAAAATAGAACAAGAGTATATTTGTTCCTCCACCTATAATACAAGGGTATATATGTACGTTTTCCCTTTCAACAAAAGAAGAAGGTATATAAAATAGAAATTACTTCAAATAGGACTAAAACTATGGCAAAAACTCAAAATAGGACTTGCTATGTTTTTTTTTTCAAAATAGGACCATAGTGGTCCTATTGGAAACATACTCATTTCTTCCTTCCATTCTTACCCCTCCTTTAAATATTAGTAAAAGATAGTTAAAAGTCATAATTAAATGTTTAATTCATAATAAATTCGAAAAAATTTCAATAATTCGTAGAAAAATAATAAAAAAATTAATAAAATTTTTATAAAATAAAAAATAAGAAAAAATTTTTTTTTTTAATTTTTTTTAAAAAAAAAAAATAAAAAAAAAATAGTAAAACTCCATAAAAAAAAATTAAAAAAAATATGGATACGTTTCCTACCGCCTGTACTACCTCCCTGAACCACCACCTCCGATCGGTGTAAAAAATGCCACTTTTTTTTTTAAATTCCACAAAAATGGCATATTTCTCTATGAGAATGCCAACATTTTCATTCTGCCAACTTGAATCCTTTTGACTTTTGCCAAAAATATGGCATTCATAATTTTTTTGGCATTTTTTTACCTCGGTGACAGGAGGTGGTGGTACCGCCTCCCTGCACCACCACCTCCGACCGTTAAAAAAAATGTCATATTTTCCTACAAACTTCCATTTTTTTTGGAAAATGCCAAAAATATGGCATATTTCTCTTTGAGAATGCCAACATTTTTTTCTTCCATCTTAAATCATTCTGAATTATGCCAAAAATATGGAATTCATAATAAATTTGGCATTTTTCCCCAAATGACTAGAGGTGGTGGTGCTGGGGCGGTATAGGCGGCGGTGACAAAAAAAATATTTTTTTGATTTTTTTTTAATTGTTTTTTATTTTTTTTATTTTTTATTTTTTTTTAATTTTTTTTTTTAAATTTATTATTATTCAGAATATTTTTATTAATTTTTTGGTATATTTTACGAATTTTTATTATTTTTTATTATTTTATTATGAATTAAAACATTCCAATAGGTATAAGGGTATTGTTGGGATAATGGACCAGGCCCAGTGCCATCGGCCCGTTATCCCCGAGCTTTGGCCCAACTAGGCCCAAGACACAGTCTCACGAGCGGAAATAGCCCATTGCTCATTTACTTATTTATCGGGCCTGTTCGCCCAATAGCTTAGACATGTATTATGTATTTCGGCCAAGCCCGCGTAGGTTAGGCT